TTATGGACAGCTCATGGTGTCTATGTTACCATCTCAACAAATAAACATGAACAAGTAAATAATCTAGTATCATCATCAACAAGGGGTTTAATAAATGGTACATTTTTCGGTATATTTCAATTACATCAAATTATTGGAAATTTGCTTGTCTCATTTTTATTTCATATAAAACTTGAACAACGGATTATTTTTACAATACTGGCAGGTATTGGTGGATTAGGAACATTCAGTTTAATTTTTCTGCGACCTATAAAAATGCCAAAAGATGGAAGTAAAACATTGATTATTTTATATTCTATGAATAATATTTTATTTTATATTTTCTAGAAAAACAGTCGATTCTATCGAGTTTATCAATACTTTTCGATATTCGTTTTCTTTTACTTATTCCAACAATGTGTTATAGTGGATTATCTCAAGGATTCATCTTTGCTGCTGTAGCTCCATTGATTATTGATAAAAGTCGGAAATATCTAATATTTACTGTGTTTGGTGGTGTTAATACTTTTAGTTTTCTCTTTTTTGGAAAATTAAGTGATTTAATTGGTCGTCGTCTTCTTGTATTTGCTATTGGAGCACTTGCTCATATGCCTATTTTTGTACTTTTATTAATAGTATGGAAACCACCTTTGGATCAAAGTCGTACTGAAATATTTCTTATATTGGGTATTGGTTTAAGTGTAGGTGTTGCTATATTTGCGACACTATTATATTCTATCATAGGCACTTTCTATGAAGAATCACGGCTAGCAGATGCTTTTGCATGTTTAAAAATATTTCAAGCAGGCTCTATAGCGATAGCTCTTGTTGAACAAGTTTATGTCTCATTTTCTATACAAGTCTTATGTCTAATTATTCTTTTGTCATTAACTGTTATTACACTTATTTATGAACATTATGGTATTATATCATTAGATACAGGCAAACCAAGAATATCAATGCAAAAGAAAAATAAAAAAGAACCTGAAGCCGACATTGAAGCACAGTCAGCTTTGACAACATCGTCGAATAAAGCATAAAGAATGTCACAACAAAAATCATGATTTAAAAAATAAAAAACCCACACATCAATATTTAGGAATATTGCTGTAAACAAGGGTAGAATTCAATCATTGTTCTTCTTGATTATCGTTTTATGTGAAATTTTGAAATAGATTTTAGTTTTGTGTTATAACGTTTTTCCTATTTTTCGGATATAAAAAAAACTCGATGACACAAGAATGATTATAAAACTGTCCATAAAAAACACGAATGGATTGTACATAGAATACCGATCAATAACTCTATTAAGGTATTGATTACATCTTCAGATGTATTTCTGTACATAGAATTGAAATATTATAGGACGAATAAAAGCAAATCGGAGCACTCTATCATGAAGACTGGACAAACTCTAATGAGATTGTAAATAATTTAATCTCAAATCGAAGAGACCTCGTTCCAATTATGCATTATTTTATATTAGAGAATGGTGTATTTGGAGATGAATAATACACTCTAATAAAGTGAAAGTGGAATGTTTAAGTCTGAAGACATATGATAAATTTATTGGAAGTTTTTTAAATATTCTAAATTTTAAAGGAGATAACGAGGATAATTCATTTTGAGTGAAAATAATGATTTGAATAAATAGTGGAATTATACTATTGCAGGAATTTAATGACTGCCTATGAAATAATCAACCGTTCAACGATTAACACGTTCTGCGCTACATCTTGAAGATAATAGACTATCTTATTTTTGTGAGCAAGATTTCAGGAATGATTAGAGAGAAAAGAAAATTTATCCTCCAATTTTTTGCCGCAGGATTTTCTACTTTTTTTGAGTAATACAAAACAACGAATTTCGGAGAATGAATATTTCTCTAATCAAAAATTTGATACTATCCATTTTGATGGTTGACGTCAAATTCATCGAAAGACTCGGAACTCGACTGTCTTTTATGCTATTATTATTATCATCAGATGGGTCATAGATAATGGACTTCTGAGGATTTTGAATTTATCTGAATTGCATTTAAATATATCGGAGTACTTTCTTTTCACAAAGATTCGTCACTCAATTGTCTACAAAAATGCATACTGTTGTCGACCAAAAGAAACGCTTTGTATTTTATAGAGACGATACAATTGATTCATCAAAACCATATAACTTTCAAAGATAATCGTTGGACGAATCTTTTTACTTGCGTGTTTTAACTCTCGATCTAATTTTACTATTGATATCAATGTGTTCTAGTCAGTGTGTTTCACAAACTCAACCTTATTTGCATAATCTAAAGAAATCAGGTCTCGACTATTTGGTAATTAATGATTTTTGTCGATAAACGCTTGTAAGCTATGATGGCACCGTCGTTGCGATAAATGATGGATGTGTGACTTAGCTCCGTGCATGGCTGTCAAATACACGCCAAAAAAGGGGTATTACACTCCATTTACCATTTTGGATCCTAAAAACGTTGTGCCCTTAAAGTACACATTTTGTACTCCATTCGGTTTTTTGAATTGTTGTTGCTATAATCTGCTCGTTAACTAAGGTTAATCGTCATTTTTAATAGAGGCTAGAGTGTTCTTTAGGGGACATTCACAGTGAACAATATTGGTGAAAGATTAACCTATGATTATTACCATCTAAATTATATTCTTATTATAATTTCTGTTGATTATTTCAAATAAATGATCGAGTCAAACAGGAGCTTCAAAAACAAAAACTATCATTGACTTTTTAAAAACGATTATATTTGCCGCACTTATTTTGATAAAGAGAAAAGAATCAAATGAACAGTTATTAAAACAATATTTTTGTTTTCAAGTTATTTATTAATATATATAAGTTGCATTTCATCATAATCATTTTTGTCAAATCTTAATCTAAACAATTCCACTTGATACGCATGTAAATAATCAAAATCTATTTCATCGAATTTTCTTATCTAAGCATATAATTTTTTCTATATTAAAAATAAAACATAATCAAATATATTTTCTTTTACAAACTTATTTCTATCTATAATCGATTGATTTTTTTTTCAGTTATGTTTGTGTATGTAATGTTAAACTGCATGTTAATACTTCACCTTTACTTGCACGAGATATGTAATCGGAGAAAAACAATCGATTTCTTTGTTTTAAATAAGCAACGAAAAACAAAAACAAAGCAGTCGACTAAGGTTAATATGTTGAAACGCGTTCTATCATATTATATTATTCATTGACGAATAAATGGATCGATCGAATTTTTACAATGTAATTCATTTAAGTTTGTCGTTTTTTCTTATTTTTATGTCTTATAATGTTACACAAATATTTCAAACATCATCAGATCATGCTAAAGATGGTGCATTTGCATTAGGCATTATATATCTGGTATTTTGTTTAACTAATTTAGTTCTATCATCATATATAACTCGATCATTAGGT